CCCCAAAACCCCAAAACCCCAAAACCCCAGAGGCCAAAATTTAAGGTTGATAAATAAAATAAATATTAGAAATAATAGATTATAATCGATTGACTGATTGATTTATAAAGTTATTAATTGAAATGGGCTGCTGCAGTACAAAAGAAGATCCAAACCTTTACAAGCAATCCAATGCTAACATGATAAATAACCCTGATTACTGTTGTGCATACGTAAAGAAGGACAAGATTAAGAGCTTGCTGATGAGGCAGTCTAAGACCCAGGATGATTCCCAGCTGATAAGCAAACTCATGACTTAAATAAACTCAGAAATTGATCTAGGTCTGCTACTAACTCAAATTAAGGAGGTCTAGCAATAGTAAAATTAGTAAAATAACCTCAAGAGTATGGAGGATAGCAACAAAAATGAGGAATTCGACTATATTATGGAAAGAAGGAAGTCTATAAGTCAGAAGCAAAAGCACCTTCTTACCTAGTCTTCCTCAAGCAGCAAAAGAAATAAAAAGCTCTCCTTGAGAAGTATTCATGACGAGACTACTCATACAATTAACCATACGACTTTCCCAAATGATGAGTAAATTGAACCAATAGAAAAGATTGATGAGGGTATTCAAACTGATAATGTTGAAATCAGAGACCCAGACGACAACATCATCAAGATTCAGATATAGCCTATCATTCAGGCATCAACAGGTGAATAAGCTTTTATTGTGATGAGGGATCTAGAAGAGGACACATCGTTGCTTCGAGAATAAGTGAATTCGCAGTCTAGCGTCACTATCATCCCCTCCTCAAATGAAGGCAAGAAACTGCCTGAAATAATGATATCTCCTTTGATAGACATGGACAATCAACTGCAGATTGCTTAGAATCAACAGCATCAGCATATGCAGCAGAGAAAGTTCGAGTCCTTCAACTTTACCAACTAGAAGTTAGTGGATGCTGGGCAAGTAGTCTAGCCGCTATAGCATAATTCTAGAACTGAGCTCATGCAGTACATGTCTATGAGGAACCAACATAAATATCAGCAGCAACAGTACTAAAATAATATGCAGAGAATGAACCCCATGTTTAACGGCAACGCAAACCCTGATAACAGAAATAACAATGCAAATTCTAGTGGAAGTTCAAATCAATATCAATAACAGTTTGACAAAATCAAATCGCTGAGGAGAAGTGTTCACGTGGGTGCCAATAATTACTATAACAATTCTGATGCGAGAGGAGTAATCAACGATAACATGCTGCACACCTAGAGGTATCAAAGCAACAAACACTAGTACTTTTAATTGAATGGAAACGAGCAGATCATAACAACTCTAGGAAGCACAGGAGGCATTGGCCCTAAAATCGCAGGAGACACCTATCACCACTATCTAGACTACTCGACTGGCTAATAACCAATCAACATGAGGTAGAAATCTCTTAATGGGCCTATTAGCAGGCATCATACATAGAGCAGTCCGCTTACTAACTTCCAAGTTGAGAATATCACGACTTCTACTGTAGCCTCTCTACTGCCTCATAATTAAAATTACTAGCAGATATTTGAGAGATCTATCAGATCTTCAAGTCTCGAAAGCTCCAAAAATTTTTAAAATAAGATATGACTGATTTACCTTCAAGACTAATACAAGTATCTCTGCACTGATTTTCCTAAGTAGACAAGCTTCGTTTATATTTAATTTCTTAAGTTTGCTTCAATCAATTAAATATTCAACTGACAGCTATTATCAATAACTTATGTTGGTGTTGG